TTCTTCTTCAAGTCTTGATCCTCAGTCCCGTGGTTGTTTTCTTCTTAGATCCTCAGGTCGAGTCTTAGATCCTCAGGTCCCGTGGTTGTTCTTCTTCAAGTCTTAGATCCTCAGGTCCCGTGGTTTGTTCTCTTCAAGTCTTAGATCCTCAGGTCCCTGTGGTTGTTCTTCTTCAAGTCTTAGATCCTCAGGTCCTGTGGTTGTTTCTTCTTCAAGTCTTAGATCCTCAGGTCCCGTGTTGTTCTTCTTCAAGTCTTAGATCCTCAGGTCCCGTGGTTTGTTTCTCTCAAGTCTTAGATCCCAGGTCCCGTGGTTTTCTCTTTCAAGTCTTAGATCCTCAGGTCCCCGTGGTTGTTCTTCTTCAAGTCTTAGATCCTCAGGTCCCTGTGGTTGTTCCTCTTCAAGTCAATGTTCCTTCAAGAGATCCTCAGGTCCCCTGTGGTTGTCTTCTTCAAGTCTTAGATCCTCAGGTCCCCGTGGTTGTTCTTCTTCAAGTCTTAGATCCTCAGGTCCCCGTGGTTGTTCCTCTTTCAGAAGTCTTAATCTCAGGTCCCTGTGGTTGTTCTTCTTCAAGTCTAGATCCTCAGGTCCCTTGGTTGTTCTTCTTCAAGTCTTAGATCCTCAGGTCCCTGTGGTTGTCTCTTGTCTTAGATCCTCAGGTCCTGTGGTTGTTCTTCTTCAAGTCTTAGATCCTCGGTCCCCGTGTGTTTCTTCTTCAAGTCTTAGATCCTCAGGTCCCTGTGGTTTCTCAAGTCTAGATCCTCAGGTTGTTGCTTCTTCAAGTCTTAGATCCTCAGGTCCCTGTGGTTGTTCCTCTTCAAGTCTTAGATCCTCAGTCCCTGTGGTTGTTCTCTTCAGTCTTAAGATCCTTCAGGTCCCTGTGGTTGTTTCTTCAAGTCTAGATCCTCAGGTCTTCCTTGTTGTTCTTCTCTCAGTTCTTAGATCCTCAGGTCCCCGTGGTTGTTCTTATTCAAGTCTTAGATCCTCAGGTCCCCGTGGTTGTTCTTCTCAAGTCTTAGATCCAGGTCCCGTGGTTGTCTTAGATCCTCAGGTCCCCGTGGTTGTTCTTCTTCAAGTCTTAGATCCTCAGGTCCCGTGGTTGTTCTTCTTCAAGTCTTAGATCCTCAGGCCCTGTGGTTGTTCCTCTTCAGTCTTAGATCCCAGGTCCCTGTGGTTGTTCTTCTTCAGTCTTAGATCCTCAGGTCCCCGTGGTTGTTCTTCTTTCAAGTCTTAGATCCTCAGGTCCCTGTGGTTGTTCTTCTTCAAGTCTTAGATCCTCAGGTCCCGTGGTTGTTCTCTTCAAGTCTTAGATCCTCAGGTCCCCTGTGGTTGTTCTTCTTCAAGCTTAGATCCTCAGGTGTTGTTCTTCTTCAAGTCTTAGATCCTCAGTCCTGTGGTTGTTCTTCTTCAAGCTTATCCTCAGGTCCCCGTGGTTGTTCTTCTCAAGGTCCCCGTGGTTGTCAAGTCTTAGATCCTAGGTCCCGTGGTTGTTCTTCTTCAAGTCTTAGATCCTCAGGTCCCCGTGGTTGTTCTTCTTCAAGTCTTAGATCCTCAGGTCCCCGTGGTTGTTCTTCTTCAGTCTTAGATCCTCAGGTCCCCGTGGTTGTTCTTCTTCAAGTCTTAGATCCTCAGGTCCCCGTGGTTGTTCTTCTTCAAGTCTTAGATCCTCAGGTCCCCGTGGTTGTTCTTCTTCAAGTCTTAGATCCTCAGGTCCCCGTGGTTGTTCTTCTTCAAGTCTTAGATCCTCAGGTCCCTGTGGTGTTTCTTCTTCAGAGTCTTAGATCTCAGGGGTCCCCTGTGGTTGTTCTTCTTCAAGTCTTAGATCCTCAGGTCCCTGTGTTGTTCCTCTTCAAGTCTTAGATCCTCAGGTTCCCTGTGGTTGTTCCTCTTCAAGTCTAGATCCTCAGGTCCCGTGTTGTTCTTCTTCAAGTCTTAGATCCTCAGGTCCCCGTGGTTGTTCTTCTTCAAGTCTTAGATCCTCAGGTCCCTGTGGTTGTTTCCTCTTCAAGTCTTAGATCCTCAGGTCCCCTGTGTTGTTCTTCTTCAAGTCTTAGATCCTCAGGTCCCCGTGGTTGTTCCTTCTTCAAGTCTTAGATCCTCAGGTCCCTGTGGTTGTTCTTCTTCAAGTCTTAGATCCTCAGGTCCCTGTGGTTGTTCTTCTTCAAGTCTTAGATCCTCAGGTCCCCGTGGTTGTTCTTCTTCAAGTCTTAGATCCTCAGGTCCCTGTGGTTGTTCTTCTTCAAGTCTTAGATCCTCAGGTCCCTGTGGTTGTTCTTCTTCAAGTCTTAGATCCTCAGGTCCCTGTGGTTGTTCTTCAAGTCTTAGATCCTCAGGTCCCCGTGGTTGTTCCTCTTCAAGTCTTAGATCCTCAGGTCCTGTGGTTGTTCTTCTTCAAGTCTTAGATCCTCAGGTCCCGTGGTTGTTTCTTCTTCAAGTCTTAGATCTCAGGTCCCGTGGTTGTTCTTCTTCAAGTCTTAGATCCTCAGGTCCCTGTGGTTGTTCTTCTTCAAGTCTTAGATCCTCAGGTCCCTGTGGTTGTTCTTCTTCAAGTCTTAGATCCTCAGGTCCCTGTGGTTGTTCATTTGTTTTTCAAAATAAAATCAAAAATAAGAAAGTTAAAAAAAACAATTTTCTTCATTATTTGTCTCTAAAACCAAAATTTAAAATACGGATAAAGATTTGTTTTTTTCAGTTTTCGATTTTGTGTTTCCGTGACTTAAACTGCGATGACGGACTGAAGTCTCAGTCTCAGTCCCGGTCTGGTTCCGGTCTGGTCCCGGTCTCAGTCTTGATCACTCGACAGTCTACGCGGGCGCAACTCTGGGCCCATCCCGACACTCAGTCCTGGATCAGTCCTGGTTCAGTTCTGGTTCAGTCCTGGTTTAGACCTGTTTTAGTCCTGTTTTAGTCTTGGTTTAGACCTGGTTTAGTTCTGGTTTAGACCTGGTTTAGACCTGTTTTAGTCCTGGTTTAGGCCTGGTTTAGACCTGTTTTAGTCCTGTTTTAGTCCTGGTTTAGTCCTGGTTTAGGCCTGGTTTAGTCCTGTTTTAGATCTGGTTTAGTCCTGGTTAGTCCCTAGTTTAGACCTGTTTAGACCTGGTTTAGTTCTGGTTTAGACCTGGTTTAGACCTGTTTTAGTCCTGGTTTAGGCCTGGTTTAGACCTGTTTTAGTCCTGTTTTAGATCTGGGTTAGTCCTGGTTTAGTCCTAGTTTAGACCTGTTTTAGACCTGGTTTAGTCCTGGTTCAGTCCTGGTTCAGCCCTGGTTTAGACCTGGTTCAGTTCTGGTTTAGACCTGGTTTCAGTCCTGGTTAGTGCTGGTTTAGACCTGGTTTATTCCTGGTTCAGTTCTGGTTTAGACCTGGTTCAGTCCTGGTTCAGTGCTGGTTTAGACCTGGTTTTATTCCTGGTTTAGACCTGGTTTATCCTGGTTCAGTCCTGGTTCAGTCCTGGTTTGCTGGTTTAGACCTGGTTTATTCCTGGTTTAGACTGGTTTAGTCCTGGTTCAGTCCTGGTTCAGCCTGGTGTAGACCTGGTTCAGTTCTGGTTTAGACCTGGTTCAGTCCTTGGTTTAGTCCTGGTTTAGTCCTGGTTTAGGGCCTTTAGACCTGGTTTAGACCTGTTTAGTCCTGGTTAGTCCTGGTTCAGTCCTGGTTTAGCCTGGTTCTGGTTTTAGACCTGTTTCAGTCCTGGTTTAGACCTGTTCAGTTAGTCCTGGTTTAGTCCTGGTTAGACCTGGTTTTAGACCTGGTTTCAGTTTCCTGGTTTAGTCCTGGTTTAGTCCTGTTTAGTCCTGGTTAGTCCTGGTTTAGACCTGGTTTTCCCTGGTTAGTCCTGGTTTAGACCTGGTTTAGTCCTGGTTTATCCTGGTTTAGTCCTGGTTCAGTCCTGTTTATTCCTGGTTTAGTCCTGGTTTAGACCTGGTTTAGACCTGTTAGTCCTGGTCCAGTCCTGGTCCAGTCCGTATTTTAAGTCACGGAAACGAGAAACGGCCATTATCTGTTTTTTTTTTTTTTTTTGGTTTTGGAAACAAATAATGAAGAAATTTGTTTTGTTTTTTCTTTCCTTTCTTATTTTTGGTTTTATTTTGAAAAAACGACCAAATGTTTAATCGCCTTTAATCACTTCAGTTTTATCACCGAGATCTGAACTTTCCCGCGGTCACTGGCAGGTCCCTGAAACCTTCCCGCCCCAAAACCTCGAAACACGTTTTGTAGATTTAAACCATCAGCGAGTCTTTTGTACTTAAATGCATTTTACTGATTCTTTTTCCGTCTCGTGTGTGTTTTTTTTTTTTTTTTTCCAGGTCCGCCGCTCATCTCCAGCGACGCGGTGCAGTACGCCGTGAGGGGCGAGCGCGGCGAGGTGAAGTGCTACATCGCCAGCACTCCTCCCCCGGACAAAATCGTACGTCAAATCCTTCGTTTAAAAAAAAAAAAAAAAAAAAAAAGTACAGTGAAAACCTCTCCTGATATTAACATACATTATTAAGTCTACAGGGAAAAGCTCTGAGGTCGTCGGGGAAACGGTCTGAGCCGGTTTAGACCTGGTTTAGACCTGGTTCAGTCCTGGTTTAGTCCTGGTTTAGACCTGGTTTAGACCTGGTTTAGTCCTGGTTTAGTCATTTTTTTGTCCAGTTTTAGTCCTGTTTTAGTCCTGGTTCAGTCCTGTTTTAGACCTGTTTTAGTCCAGTTTTAGTCCTGTTTTAGTCCTGGTTTAGTCCTGTTTTAGTCCTGGTTTAGTCCTGGTTTAGTCCTGGTTTAGACCTGGTTTAGACCTGGTTTAGTCAATTTTTTTGTCCAGTTTTAGTCCTGTTTAGACCTGTTTTAGTCCTGTTTTAGTCCTGGTTTAGTTCTTGTTTAGACTTGTTTTAGTCCTGGTTCAGTCCGGGTTCAGTCCTGTTTTTAGACCTGTTTTAGTCCAGTTTTAGTCCTGGTTTAGACCTGTTTTAGACCTGTTTTAGTCCTGGTTTAGTCCTGGTTTAGTCCTGGTTCAGTTCTGGTTTAGTCCTGGTTCAATCCTGGTTCAGTCCTGGTTTAGTCCTGGTTTAGACCTGGTTTAGACTTGTTTTACTTCTTTTTTTAAATCCTGGTTCAGTCCAGTTTTAGTCCTGTTTTAGACCTGTTTTAGTCCTGGTTTAGTTCTTGTTTAGACCTGTTTTTAGTCCTCGTTCAGTCCTGGTTCAGTCCAGTTTTAGTCCTGTTTTAGACCTGTTTTAGTCCTGGTTCAGTCCTGTTTAGTCCTGGTTTAGTTCTTGTTTAGACCTGTTTTAGTCCTGGTTCAGTCCTGGTTTAGACCTGGTTCAGTCCAGTTTTAGTCCTGTTTTAGACCTGTTTTTAGTCCTGGTTTAGTTCTTGTTTAGACTTGTTTTAGTCCTGGTTCAGTCCTGGTTCAGTCCTGTTTAGTCCTGGTTTAGTTCTTGTTTTAGACCTGTTTTAGTCCTGGTTTAGACCTGGTTTAGTCCTGGTTCAGTCCAGTTTTAGTCCTGTTTTAGACCTGTTTTAGTCCTGGTTTAGTTCTTGTTTAGACTTGTTTTAGTCCTGGTTCAGTCCGGGTTTCGACCTGGTTTAGACCTGTTTTAGACCTGAGGGGTGAGGTGAAGTACTAATCCTCCTCCGGACAAAATCATACGTCAAATCCTTCATTTAAAATAAAAAGTACAGTGAAAACCTCTCCTGATATTAACATACATTATTAAGTCTACAGGGAAAAGCTCTGAGGTCGTCGGGGAAACGGTCTGAGCCGGTTTAGACCTGGTTTAGACCTGGTTTAGTCCTGGTTTAGTCCTGGTTTAGTCCTGGTTTAGACCTGGTTTAGACCTGGTTTAGACCTGGTTTAGTCCTGGTTTAGTCCTGGTTTAGTCCTGGTTTAGACCTGGTTTAGACCTGGTTTAGACCTGGTTTAGTCCTGGTTTAGTCCTGGTTTAGACCTGGTTTAGACCTGGTTTAGTCCATTTTTTGTCCAGTTTTAGTCCTGTTTTAGTCCTGGTTCAGTCCTGTTTTAGTCCAATTTTAGTCCAGTTTTAGTTCTGTTTTAGTCCTGGTTTAGTCCTGGTTCAGTCCTGGTTTACACCTGGTTTAGACCTGGTTTAGACCTGGTTTAGACCTGGTTTAGTCCTGGTTTAGACCTGGTTTAGTCCTGGTTTAGGTCTTGGTTCAATCCTGGTTCAATCCTGGTTTCAGTCCTGGTTTTAGTCCTGGTTTAGTCCTGGTTTAGACCTGGTTTAGACCTGGTTTAGTCCTGGTTTCCTGGTTTAGACCTGGTTAGTCCTGGTTTAGTCCTGGTTCAGTCCTGGTTTAGACCTGGTTTAGACCTGGTTTTAGACCTGGTTTAGACCTGGTTTAGTCCTGGTTTAGTCCTGGTTTAGACCTGGTTCAGTCCTGGTTTAGACCTGGTTCAGTCCTGGTTTAGACCTGGTTCAGTCCTGGTTCAGTCCTCGTCTCTGGTACTTTTACGAGGGTGAGTCACGTAGAAAATACCAGAATGTTCCTTTATAAACAGAGTTGCCGGGCCCCGCGTCACCGGCCCCTGAATGTGGAAGTGTCTGTGTGTCTGGTGCTCGGCCAACGCGCAGGAGTTGATAAACCTTTTGTCTATGTTAAGTTTTTAATAATGTCGCTCCTGCTCCTCTGACGGCGTCCGGGAAAACAAAATCAAACCGGACGAGAACAGACACGAGAACAGACGGGAAAGTGCTTCAGGACAGATCTGTTTTCCTCACCTATTCATCAGATTTTGAATTTTAAATACATTTTAAAAACATGTTTGAATTATTTTGATTCTGAATTTTAGTTGCTAAAATTTTCAAACCTTCAAATTCAACAGTTAAAATTCAGAGTGAAAAAATTTGCCAGAAAGATCCAAGATTAAAATTTCAGCGACTAAAATTCAGAGTTAAAATAATTCAATTTTTTTCAGAGAACCAGTCTAAACCAGGTCTAAACCAGAAATAAACCAGGCTTAAACCAGGTCTAAACCAGAAATAAACCAAGTTTAAACCAGGTCTAAACCAGAAATAAACCAGGATTAAACCAGGTCTAAACCAGGACTAAACCAGGATTAAACCAGGTCTAAACCAGGATTAAACCAGGTCTAAACCAGGTCTAAACCAAGACTAAACCAGGTCTAAATCAGGACCATCCCAGGTCTAAACTAGAAATAAACCTGAACTAAACCAGGTCGAATCCAAAACTAAACCAGACCTAAACCAGGTCTAAATTAGGTCTAAATCAGGACCAAACCAGGTCTAAACCAAGTCTAAACCAAGTCTAAACCAAGTCTAAACCAGGACTAAATCAGGACTAAACCAGGACTAAAACCAGGTCTAAACCAGGACTAAACCAGGACTAAACCAGGTAAACCAGGTCTAAACCAGGACTAAACCAGGTCTAAACCAGGTCTAAGGCTGGTCTAAACCAGGACTAAAATAAGGCTAAACAAGTTTAGTGATTTTCTGCTTTTTATAAATAAATACAGTTAATATTCTGCAGAATTGATTTAAACATTTTGGCTCCAGAATATTTTCTGTTTTTCATGTGGCCCCATAAAAAAAAAAAAAAAAAATTCCCCACCACTGGTCTGGACAAACGGTAAAAGGTAAAAGTACTGTTGTCGATAAGAGAAGAAAAAAGAAAGGAAAAATGTAAAAATAAATAAATAAAAATAAATAAATAAATAAAGGGCGTTGTGGTTCAGGTCGAGTCTCTCCACACAATGGTTCACTAACCCAGTTTTCTATTCCCTTTAGATTAGTTTTTCTCAGAATCACTCAAAACTCACGTCTCTCTCTTTCTCTTTTACTTTCAACAAAAAAAAAAACAAAAAAAAAAAAAAACAACCCTCCATTACATTTCCGCGTACCTCCTCCTCCTCCCTCGCGCCGCTAATGCTCGGCGCTAGCGCTAAGCTCGGAAAAAGCCTCATAAAATATAGAGCAGCGCCGTCCCGCGAAGCTCCGCCGCCCGGATTCTTTTCTAAGTGGCGAGATTATAGAAACATGTGCCTCATCCATAATTAAAACGACAGTACAGAGGCCGCGGCGGTGAATAAAACAAAACCGCTTTTAGTGCCTCTCGAGCTAACAAAGTGCGGCGCGACTATTTACATGTTAGCGTGTTAAGCTAGCGTGTCCGTCGCGAGCGTTGTGTGTCTGTTTGGTTGTTGGAAGTCGTGTCGCGCCCAAACCCCGACACACGAGGGCACGAGGATACACGGAGAAATACACGGAAAAATACACGAAGAAATACACGCTAAAACGGACCCAAGGAGAGTGAGGATGTACATGGATGTCGAGGGTAGAAAGTGGAGAGTCGCTTTCGAGGAAACGCAGAGGGATGAAGTTCACGGGGTCTGACGTGATTTTATAATTTGACGTGCGATATCCAGATATGGACTAAACCAGGTCCAAACCAGGTCTAAACTAGGTCTAAACCAGGACTGAACCAGGACTAAACTAGGTCTAGACTAGGTGTAAACCAGGACTAAAGCAGGACCAAAGCAGGACTAAAACCAGGTCTAAACCAGGTCTAAACTTGGTCTAAACTAGGTCTAAACTTGGTCTAAACTAGGTCTAAACCAGGTCTAAACCAGGTCTAAACCAAGTCTAAACCAGGTCTAAAACCAGGTCTAAACTAGGTCTAAACCAGGTCCAAACCAGGTCTAAAACAGGACTAAACCAAATCTAAACCAGGACTAAAACCAGGTCTAAACCAAGTCTAAACCAAGTCTAAACCAGGTCTAAACCAAGTCTAAAACCAGGTCTAAACCAGGTCTAAATTAGGTGTAAACCAGGACTAAAGCAGGACCAAATCAGGACTAAAACTAGGTCTAAACCAGGTCTAAAACAGGTCTAAACCAGGACTAAACTAGGTCTAAACCAGGACTGAACCGAGGACTAAACTAGATCTAAACCAGGACTAAACCAGGACTAAACCAGGACTGAACCGAGGACTAAACTAGATCTAAACTAGGTCTAAACTTGGACTAAACCAGGACTTATTGAGGTCTAACCTGTTGTTTTTTTTGTTTGTTTTTGTTTTGGTTTGTTAATTACATTTGCAGATTTATCTAGTTTGATCTAAAGTCGCCAAACGATTCTATTAAAACACTCACATGGACTAAAAACATGTTCTAGATTTGGGTTCTTTTCAGTATAACCCCTCTATTTCCCAGTATCAGATGAGTCTTGGACCGCTGACCCTGACCCCTGACCCCTGACCCCTGACCCTGACCCTGACCCTGACCGTGTCCCCTGATCCTGACCCCTGACCCTGACCCTGACCCTGACCCTGACCCTGACCCTGACCCCCCTGACCCTGACTGACCCTGACCCCTGACCCTGACCGTGTCCCCTGACCCTGACCCCTGACCCTGACCCCTGACCGTGTCCCCTGACCCTGACCGTGTGACCCTGACCGTGTCCCTGACCTGACCGTGTCCCCTGACCCTGACCGTGTCCCCTGCCCCTGACCCCTGACCGTGTCCCTGACTGACCCTGACCCTGACCCTGTCCCCTGACCCTGACGTGTCCCTGACCCTGACCCTGACCGTGTCCCCTGACCCTGACCTGACCCTGACCCTGACCGTGTCCCCTGACCCTGACCGTGTCCCCCCTGACCCTGACCGTGTCCCCTGACCCTGACCCCTGACCCTGACCCCTGACCCTGACCTCTGACCCTGACCCTGACCCTGACCGTGTCCCCTGACCCTGACCCCTGACCGTGTCCCCTGACCCTGACCCTGACCGTGTCCCCCTGACCCCTGACCCTGACCCCTGACCCTGACCGTGTCCCCTGACCCTGACCCTGACCCTGACCCTGACCCTGACCCCTGACCCTGACCCTGACCGTGTCCCTGACCCTGACCCTGACCGTGTCCCCTGACCCTGACCCTGACCCCTGACCCTGACCCTGACCCTGACCCTGACCCTGACCGTGACCCTCCCCTGACCCCTGACCCTGACCCTGACCCCTGACCCTGACCGTGTCCCCTGACCCCTGACCCTGACCCTGACCGTGTCCCCGTCTCGTGTCCAGGTGTGGGCGTGGAAGGAGAACGTGTGGGAGAAGGAGCGGGGCACCCTGCTGGAGCGTTACACGGTGGAGCAGAGCCGCCCCAGCCCAGAGGGGGGCGGCGTCCTCTCCACACTCACCATCAACAACGTCATGGAGTCCGACTTCCAGTCCACCTACAACTGCACGGCCTGGAACGCCTTCGGACCCGGGACCATGATCATCACGCTGGAGGAGACAGGTGAGGCGCACGGCCGGAGGAGACACACCATTCAACTATTTAAGTGTTCCCCTAACCTTAACTATTTATTATTAAAGTATTAAACTGTTTATTAAACTGTTTATTAAAATTAAATTATTTATTAAAGTATTAAACAATTCCTTGAAGTATTGAGTTTGACATTTTAGTTTCGTGACACAAATACAAGTGAGTACAACCCTGGACACAAACACACAGAAACTATACTTATTCAGGTCTAAACTTGGACTAAACCAGGACTACATCCAGTCTAAAACCAGGACTACATCCAGTCTAAAACCAGGACTCATTCAGGTCTAAAACCAGGACTACATCCAGTCTAAAACCAGGACTACATCCAGTCTAAAACCAGGACTACATCCAGTCTAAAACCAGGACTCGTTCAGGTCTAAAACCAGGACTCGTTCAGGTCTAAAACCAGGACTCATTCAGGTCTAAAACCAGGACTCGTTCAGGTCTAAACTCGGACTAAAGCAGGACCAATTCATGTCTGAACTTGGACTAAACCAAGACTCCTTCCAGTCTAAAACCAGGACTCATTCAGGTCTAAACGTGGACTAAACCAGGACTACATCAGGTCTAAACTTGGACTAAACCAGCACTCATTCAGGTCTAAAACAAGGACTCCTTCAGGTCCTAAACTTGGATTTATTCAGGTCTAAACTTGGACTAAACCAGGACTCCATCAGGTCTAAAACCAAGACTTATTCAGATCTAAACTTGGACTAAATCAGGACTCATCCAGGTCTAAACTTGGTCTTACTGAGGTCTAAACTTGGACTAAACAAGGACCAATTCAGGCCTGAACTTGGACTAAACAAAGACTCCATCCAGCCCAAAAATTAGGACTCATTCAGGTCTAAACTTGGACTAAACCAGGACTCCATCAAGTCTAAAACCAGGACTCATTCAGGTCTAAACTTGGACTTCTCCAGGTCTAAACTTGGACTAAACCAGGAATCACTGAGGTCTAAAGTTGAACTGAACCAGAACTACACGAGAGATAAATCATGTAAAATGAGTTTTATGTCTCAGTCTGTGGTCCTGGTCCTCCAGCCTCACCCTCTCTTCTTCATGTTCTTCTTCTTCTTCTTCATGTTCTTCATGTTCTTCTTCATGTTCTTCATGTTCTTCTTCATGTTCTTCATGTTCTTCTTCTTCATGTTCTTCTTCTTCTTCTTCTTCTTCATGTTCTTCTTCATGTTCTTCATGTTCTTCTTTCTTCATGTTCTTCATCTTCTTCATGTTCTTCATGTCCTTCTTCTTGTTCTTCATGTTCTTCTTATTCTTCTTGTTCTTCTTGTTCTTCATGTTCTTCTTGTTCTTCTTGTTCTTCTTCATGTTCTTCTTGTTCTTCTTGTTCTTCATGTTCTTCTTGTTCTTCTTGTTCTTCTTCTTCTTGTTCTTCTTCATGTTCTTCTTGTTCTTCATGTTCTTCATGTTCTTCTTGTTCTTCTTGTTCTTCATGTTCTTCTTGTT